GGGGGGGGATGAGGGTTTCTTCCTTATCAGAACAAATTCTGAGCAGACAAGTCTTTAAATCAATTAATCAATTATCTAATCTATATTTCTGAGAGAATGCGTTGGTAGGCAGTGAAAGCATAAACACAGCTTTGGTGCAAAACGGAACCAGAACAGGCTCGATTTCGCCATGAAATCTACCCTGTTAAAGGAAGACCAAAAAAAGAGGAACATTTTGGGGATGGGGAGGGGGTGGTCGGTGAAAACTAAAAGACTGAGGTTTTCTCTAATTATTACACAGATTTGACAGTCGGGAAGAGCGATCTGTATTGCAGTGAGTTAACCAAAAACTCGTAATCCACTTATTGTAACGGTAGACATGTTTTTCGTCTCTTGCGACACTATTTACTTGATTTAGGAGGCGGGCTGCTTTGACCTTGCAATTCAGGACCAACCTGGATGGAGAGGAATCTTAAGTCCAAGCAGAAAGAGGGCGATACTCGGCAAAAATTCTTCCCACATGGAAATTGACTTCATGTCCTTTGCTTGCGATGGCAAAGCGCTAATCACTATGCAGTACGACAGAAGCGGGTCAAAACGTGTTTTTTGTTGTAAATTTAGAAGAAAAAAAATCCGTAAAGCTCTGACAAAAATATAATTCTCGCCCCCACAACGATATTTAGCTTGAAGACGCTGAGAGGAGCACAAATTGATATGCATCCGTGACAAGACCATGGCTAAAATTACCATATATTTCATCCAGAATCACCTTGAACAGACGGATAATTCTTTAGCCATTGCGGGAATATCGGAGTGGAGATATCATGGAAATTACTGTCAATAACTTCTCATTCAAGAACCTCACATAAAAGATCTACCACAAAAGTATAGCAGACTCTCTGCAGAGATAAAATAATAATCATGTAAATAATTATGTAGCCCCTCGACAGATAGCCCCCTTTTGGAAAGAGAGGAGGGAATTGTGAGTTTACTTGGGCGTCCGATCAATTTTTGCTTTAGTGCAGAAAAGGTAGTCTGAACGAACAATTCTTCTGCTCCTACTTTGAACACTGTCTTTCGTAGACGAAAACTGCTGTGCAGGCCAAACCTTTACAAGATTTTGGAAACCATTTAAGTACTTTCATAGAGCATTGATTGGAGGGGTTAAAAGCAACATACGAGGGGAAAAACAATAGCAAAGGATAAAAGCTAAAGTTGGTTAGAAGTTCTATGACCTTTCGCCGTGTTCCTTCTAACGCCAATCTAGGTGTTTTAAAAGATGGAGATATACTTTTGTCTGCTAAATTGATCATTCGCCTTCCCCTTCACCCTTCCATCCTCCACACATGAGTATCCATATAATCACCATTGCCGCTTGATATTACTAAACTTTTTTTGTTTGGTCCAAGCTTAGTGACCACCTGACCATGGGGTTCCTTTATCATGTGAACTATTAACAACCATAATGACCATGTCCACAATGCTACACTTTTCAAGAAGCCCATTTGTAAAAAAAAAAAAAAAGAAGCAAAACCCAAGAACAAAAACAACACCCCCCTCCTAAAATAAAACATCAACAACAAAGCAACAACAAAAGCAACCTCAATCACAACGACAATAGCATACTAGTTGTCCGATAAAAACCCACGAATAGTATGCATCCTAAAGGAACTTGAACAGATCGGTTCGGAAGCAAGTTACATAATATTGGCATCTGAACGCACCCTTTTAATACAGTACATCTTGAAATGTTCACCCGTAAAACAAAAACAAAAAATATAAGAGAACAAAGCAAAACAACCCCCTCCCTCTACTTGGCCACTGTCTTTCTTTCTAAAGGCTCTCTAAGGTAGAACAGAACAGAAAAAGATTATATGGAGCAAACTTTGAAACATTTGAAGACTTTACAGGGACCTTATGTCCAGTGCCCATGGTGGAAAGGTTATCAAATCTCCATTTGGCTAAATTAGAATTACAAAGTTCTATCTAAAATGTTTGACCGTTTTATATTACTAAGACCATGAGGTCAAAATCCAAATGATCTATCTGCTTTATCAAAATCGGAAGATTGTTCGGAGTCGTTATCAAGATATTCAAAGTATAGCATTTAAAAACCCTTGACCTGTTGTGAGACAAAACATTTTTATCGTCCTATTTCTTAAAACTAGGTACTGAGCAGATAGAACTTTGTAATTCTAGGACACCGATTTATTGGAATAGTTTGATACAACTGAGGAAGGGCGCTGGCTGATGCACACTACATCAGAGTGACCTATGCTTTTCGTTATCGGATTTGACTTGGAATTTCATTTGAGCCTTTTGCATTCTACGCGCAAATAAAATAGTTGACCTTGCAATGCGTAGCAGCCTTTTGATTTCATCAAGCATATCAAATGATGACCGCAAAAATCAAAAAAAAATTTATTTTCAAATATTTGATTAAACTGTGCTAAAATGGTCTCTTTTGCTCCTCAATGCTGGAACACCTGATCGCCGTTTAAGTATCAAACATATCAAATGTAGATTTAAATTGACCGACGTTTCTGCCATGAGCATTAGGTTTTAGTTAGTTGCTGGACCTCTTGCTTAGGGCCATTTTATCGATTAGTGTTTGCTTTCACCTAACATGTGAACCAGAGTAAGTAATACAGCTTTGACTTATGTCATCTGGTTTATTCCAACTGGTTTGCAGAAACAGGTATTAGTGTTAATTTGCTGTCGACAAAACTCCTGTCGGTATAAACAACCAAGTAAAAAAATTTCCTTCATTGAAATTTTATAACCATAATTCTTTGCTTGTAATCATATTATGTTGTCACCACCAAAGCCCACTACTCCCCTTTCGAATCAATGACATAACAATTCATTGTTCTCTAGCATAAATCACTTTCTTTCTCTTTTACACGAAGCTACCTCACGTACCACAGTGGCTGAAATCCACATCTGACAGCGCCAATAGGGCACGGTCTGCCGTTTTATTAGTCAAAATTCCGCTTTCATTCCAGGATTGTCGCTCTCCAGCCAGGTCTCCGCGCCAGACGTCTTGGGTCTGAGCCAAGCAGAACATGTCGGTGTCAATGTGTAAGATCGTCACTTGGAGCCACTGGTGAGAACAGTTGCAAGGCAGAGGATTTCCACTCAGCAGCCTGATTAAAAAAAAAAAAAGATTACGTTTGGTATTTTGGCTGATTTTTTAATGTTCGTTTTTTTTACGTATCCATCGACACAATTTAGATAATTTAGGAGGCGGGCTTTAACCCTGCCTATCCGTGCCAATATGGGCTGAGAGGGATGCAACATCCCAGCAGAAAGACAGAGGTACTCGACAAAAATGTTCTCCCCACATGGGAATCGAACTCGAGTGTCCTGCATGTGACAGCGAAACACATAACCACTATACAACAGAAGCCGTTTTTTTTTTGCCTAGAGTAGTATGTAAGTTGTGAAAGATGTAAAGATTGTATTTCAGCACATGTCCATTAGGTTTTAGTATGGGATGGAAAACAAGAAGCACACTCTTTAAAGAGATGAGTTGTTCAATTATATACTCTATCCTAATTTTATAAAAGAGTATACAACAGAAAATCGTTAAAAATAGGATATACAATTAGAGAGACAGAGACTCAGATACAGAGAGGCAGAGAGGCAGAGAGACAAAAGAGATAGAGAGACAGAGAGACCGAGACAGAGCCACGAAGGAGGGATGACGAAAGACACACACACACAAACACACACACACACACACACACACACACACACACACACACACACATACAGATAGACAACACACACACACACACACGCA